ACTGCTCTCGCGTCATTTCGTGCTGCACTCTGCCACGCGGTAAGTTTGGAAATCCTTCACAGGATGAACGCCCCATTGTTGCCTTGCCACCCCGTGCTTTCTTCTCCTCCTGACTCCGTCATCTCTGACGACGTGACCTCGCCCGAGGATTCGTCTTCCCTTCCCCGAGCGCTCCTGCTGTCGCAGCCACATCCGCTACGCCGAATCGAAAACACTGGCGGCATGCCTTGTGATAGGCCGCCGTGCTGGGCGCTTCCTGGCCTAGCACCTCGAAATGGGCGTAGTGTACTCCGGACTGCCTATGGCAGTCACCAATCCGGTGTAGGGTCTTGGTCTTTGACCTGCCCACCACCGATACCACAAACATTCCTGCCACCTTCTCCAGCGGCAAGACCTCGGCCTGGTCCGTCTCGACCTCCTGTAGATCGTCACTCTGATCGTCCAAGCCTGCATTCTCCGTCTTGACCTCCACGACGCTCTCTTCGTCTCCTACCAACACCACTGGCCCTGTAGTCGTCCACTTGGGCCTGACGCAGGGCCTGGCCGCATCGTGGCCCGGCATGAATGTCATCAAGCTCATCATCTGCTCATCGCACTCCTCCTGCTTGAAGCCCATGCCGCGCATACGCTGCTCGACGAGTTGCACCACGCTCGTCTCATCGAAAGGATCGGAGTTTGCCATGTTCTCTTTGATGAACGTTGCCAGGACCTTCTGACTGCGCAGCACGTTCACCTTGACATTCTGCTCGTATGCCTCGTCCGCCGATGGACGCATACGCCATCTCCCGATCATCCGCCGAACATCTTCGGGTATTCTGGCGGCCTGAGCCCATGTCCGCACAGTGACCCTCTCACTGTGCTCCGTCCACAACACTCCCAAGCCCGGCTGCAAGAGAGGCTTTGCCGCTTCACCCTTTCCAGTGCGAATCTCGTTGAACAGGGCCTGCGACATGGTTGATGCTATGGGGTAGTCCACCACCTTCCTCACGAAGCCATTGCAACTCTTGTCAGGCCATGGCAACATGAAATCTCTCGTCGCCAAGCCCGAGGTGGTTCCCATGGATGACCAGAGCTTCCAGCCCACTTCCAACCAATCCTTCTCCATGATCCAGGCCTGTCGGCTGATGTAGAAGGGGAGCAAGATCACATGCTTTCCAGGACCTGATGTCTTTGAGCGGTGAATGACCCCTTTCAGGCACGTGTCACTGAGCTCCAACGTACGGTTCGGCACGCCTCTGGTGTCATCGAACCTCATGCCTGTCCACAGCTTTGTCAGCCTGAACCATGCATATACACGATGATAGTTGGGCTTCGACTCATCGCATACGTGCTGTTCCCATGCGATCACGATGGAGACTGGGATGACCAGGGCCTTTCTGGAAGGCTTCAACTCCACTGACTGCAGCCTCAGGTTCGCCTCTTCTAAGGCGTTCTTGATCGCCGGCGCTCGGCAAAGCTGATCTGCCTCTGGCACCTCTCCGGCGTACTCGAGGAACATGAGCGCCTTGAACACAGCCTCGGGAAAACTGCGAGCGCAAGGTTCCTCTACCATAGCCTCCAAGAACTCTGCGAAGCATTCAGGACTGGCCGGCCACTGTTCACCAAAGACTGCATCCAGCCATCTGGACGCTTTCATCCACGTCTTGACGCGCTTCCTCAACGTGTTGGCACGACGTCCTTTGGCTACCCGAATGAGCAGCGCATCATCGCTGGAGCGCTGTGCCACCGGGAGCTTGGCTGCTTTGACTATATCTCGAATTTCCTTCACCCATCGATCTCGCTCTTGCTTCTCTGCGAGTTCACGGAGCTCCAAGTCGTTCGAGGCTATGTGAAGCTTCATGCTGAGGCGTGTGGGCCACCTCGATCTCTTGGCCGTTCCCACCTGAACGATCTTGGATTCCGCCTCGGCCCGCTGGATCTCGTGGAAGGTCCGACGACGAAGATCCCTTTGATGGGCCACATGCGCATCCATCAGGTCTTGTGACCCGCGCTTTGCATCTGTCTGATGCCTGGCCTGCGCGCAGACTGCGCACAACTTCACCAGCTCGGCTAGCCTGCTCTTGTCTATGGTGACCTCCTCGTCTCGCTGCTGCAGCTTCCAGATGACTGCGCCAAGTGCATCATCTCCGCAGCCATCGAGCGTCGCTAGCCGAGTGACCGTCCAGCCTGACTTCTTGAGGATTTCCAACTCATCCTCTGTCAGGCTGGTGCGGCCTTCCACCAAAGCCCAATCCTCTTGGGCTGCCATTGCGGCGAAGCTGGGCCCCGCCTAGAGCTGAAAGTGGATTGAGCCACTCAGCTACCGATCGTTACGTGACAAGCCGTGTACTGCGTACAACTAGCCATAGTTGTATATCACATGAATATATATATATATATATATATGTGTGTGTGTTCCCAAATAGAGTTGAAAATGGCAAAAAGAGTACACAACCACACCAAACTGCAAAACACGCTTCACTCTTTTATGCAGTTGGCTTTGCGGCTGTGTTTGATCCAGATGTCCACTGGATCTGGTTCCTTTCACACGGAACACTTCCAAAAACAAAAAAGTGGTGGTGTCACCCTGGGTTTCCACCCGGTTGACGTCACCACAGAGTATACAGTAAGCCGCAACCACCCGGCTCCTAAAGAGGACCTTGGGTGGCAGGAGAAGCAAGGTTCTGTCTCTTAGAAGACGAAAAATCCATTTGGGCGTTTAAAATTGCCCACAAAAGAGTGAAATGATTCGAGGCGTCACTCACAGGTAGTAGTTGTCGGTCTGCCCGAAAACCAGTGAAGCCCGGGTGAGTCAGCTCATCCGCCCATTGGTTGTAGTCTCTTTTCATACGGGACGGCGCCAGCTGGACGCCCGCTTGGCGCAAGATCACAATCAGCTGCATCAGGAAAGCAGATGTCAGCATCTTCCTGGTCTGCTGATTAAGCATGGCATAGATGTTCCCTTGATTGTCGGCTAAGCTTCGTCCGAAGGAGCGAGCGACCACCCTTCTGGAGGAGGAACCATGTCAGGATCAAAGTTCCAAACATTTCCAGGGCAGGCACTCGACGAGTTGGGTCACCTGCTTTGTGTGCCCAAGGATGTTCGGTCAGGTCCACCTTGTAGTGGAACCACCACGCGTCTCCTTTCATGGGGTGTTCCTGGTCAGCACCTGAGGATTGTGAAGAAAATGAGGTCCTCTGGGATTCACCTCGAAGCCCGGCCATTTGTTGAACTCTGAGATTGCCGTCTTGCGCCAGCCAAGTGGGCATCCAAGTGCAGCAAGGGTAAGGAGAAGGGTCGTCATGCCATGGACAAAGACTCAACAGCTCTCTGGCGCCACCACGCCACACCGAAGGATCTAAGGCCTTTGCGACGGCGTCCATCCGCACCCCACCGTACGTCCTTCGGCATCCAAAAGGTGCACGGATGCTCGTGAGCTTTGGGTATGAAAACCGGAAGCTGTGCCAACTGAGGTGCCGGCAGCTGACCGTCGGGATGAGGTAGTCCATGTCCTGGAACCTCTCATGCCCAACCAACCGGGTCCAGGTTGTTGTCAGGACCGACCACCAGTCTTTCCCCATAAATGAGTAAAGGGGCCAAATCAAAGGCACCGGGCTCTTCTTGATGCGGAAGGCGCTGACTGTCTTCGTCTGCCACACCATGGTGGTCTCGGTCAGTTTGAACCGCCGGACTGGTATGCTGAAGGTCATTGAACCTGGCACTGCAGGCCGCTTGGAATCGTGCCATCGCACAAATGTACTGATCCATGACCTGCTTGGAGGACCCCCGCTCGGCGCCAGGGGCTGCCAACTGGGGGCCCCGCCGCCACGCCCTTAGGGTGCGCGGATCACCGCCTGCGCAAGGGGGCTTTCCTCTAAGGTTTGATCACAGTCCACCAGTCCCTCCTGGCAGGTCTTCCGCTTGGCCTTCAACCGGTCGAGGCCGGCGAAGGCATCTGTCCGAGGTGGAATGCAACCCCAGGCAAGACAGGGTCACGAACCGAGCCGGAGGAGTCCACCAGGACCCAATGGGGTCCCGACAAGCTAAGGCGCAGCCGCTAGGAGTTGCCAAGCTCTTGCAGCCCAAACAGCGCGTCTTGTCGGCCTGCCATGGAAGGTGGCAGTCAGCACACACCCAAGCCGAAGTCCGACCCAGAAAGCATTCGCGGAGAGCAGCCCGGCGAGCCGATTGCCTGGCCTTCAGGAGCTGATTGGCCGCCCGCTTTGCCAAGTCTCAGGCAAAACCGGGAGCACCGTCTCCCACCCCTCAACTTGGAAGCCGTCAGAACTTAGGGTCACCCGCGCCAGCTCATCCTTCAGGGACGTGACTGTGGGTGCCTCAGCATCAGCAGCAGCAAGCCCTGCAGAGTCTCCTGGGGTGTGACCTTCTCCGGGATGGTCGACACAGTAGACGCTGGACCTTCTCGGGCCAACCTCGGTGTCCGGCGCTACCGCAGCAGTAGGCCCGGCTGGACCTGTAGGCCAAGCTTGGCAACGTCCGCCAGGTCCTTGAGTTGGGTGGCCAGGACTTCCTGGGCGTGCGCATCCAACACCGGCGCAGGCTCCACCTCTGCCATCAAGACGTCAGTGGTTGGCTCAGGGTCCAACTCCGAAGGGGCGTCCTCCACAGCCATCGACGGCGCCTGTAATCAAGGATCATGAAGTCTTCCGCCAGGGCACTAGGGTTTCTCACAACAAAGTCCAAACCTGCGGACTGGCTGGAAGCACCGTCAGCAGCCATGGCGAACAAAGAGTGGCAGGAAGGAGCAATGTTTTCACACAGTTGGTGCCAACAAGCGAAGACTTGAGCCAAAATGGCAGTGCCATTTTGGCAACTATATCGACAACACATTACTTGCTCTGCGCAAGCTCCAAGCAAAGTAAAAAATAGTATGTGTGTGAGTGTGTGTGTGTGCGCACTTGTGTCTGTGCTACACTGCAAGACAGGAAGTCCATTTTGTCCGGGTAGGTGTTCTCCCATCAAAGTGCAAAGTGGTTCGCAAGAGCCGCAGGCCAGCGGCCTGACAAGCTTTCTCCTCCTCCGACAATAACCTTGGGGACGACATCAACCGATGCGACTAAATCCAATCATGCGCCAGCAACAGTGGTTGGCACACTCAGCAAAGCTGGTAGTACTCCTGTACGCTGATCCAGCAAAAGAAATGTCGCGCTGAAACTGCATTTGTTTGCAGGCACAGTCACTTGCTGCGCCAAACTTCTTTAGCCTTTTGCCGATCCTGGGTGACAAGATCCGCAAGAATCCTAATGCAAACAATGTGACCTCTCTATACCTCTCTCATTCATGTCCGAACCAAAACCAAGTTGCAGCTTTTTGGTGCTCCGCAGCTTCCTTGAGTGCTTGCCGAACCTGCTTGTCGCCAGGAATCAAAGAATCCGCCTGAGCACAGCACGCTAGCGAGTGACTATTTTTGCAGAAACCCTTCGGATGCCTCTTTGAGGGATGTGTATGCATCCTCTGCAAAGCCACGCTGTAAGTTGGCAAAACCTCAGCTGAGCTGCATTCTACAGCTGATGGGTTTAACAGAGTGTTTAAACAATTCGGAAGGCACATGCAATACTACCATGCATGGCATGACGACTGAAGTCCAATGCAACAAGTTTAACACTTGGTTTACCGTCGTCTACTCAATGCTGAAGTGATTGGATGAACAGAATCAAATGTGACTGTAGCCTTGCTGCAGTACGATCGGGAAGAAGTGCATTTCGCATCATATGTGTGTGAGAGAGAGAGAGAGAGTGCAACACCAGAAAAAGAAAGCATCATAAAGCATCATGTCATGATGAACCAAAATTGAATGAACCGATATAAGGCACCTTTTCTGTAAAGGAACTTGCCTCTTGCATCGGGGTCCTTCAGCTCAGCTTTCTCCAGGTGTCTGAGCCCAATGTCAGCTGCCTTCTTTGTGTTCAACCAGTCGTTTGACTTGAGATATGCACCACAAATGTTGCTGATGACCTTCAGCTTCCTCGGTTCCACCAGTCGGTTCAGATCTGATCCATCGAACGGCAGGATTCTGTGATGCGCGACTCTTGGGGCGACTCTTGGGAAAAGCGGAAGTCAAAGAAGAAGTTTTAGTAATGTGTAAAAGCCCAAAAAACAGGGGTGTTTGGGCCCCTGCAATAAGGATTTTGAACAAGCCAAAAGGTCTTGTGCATGCTTTCTAAAATCTATAAACTTACTTTGGTTTGTTCTGCAACCGTTGCAAGTCGCCATGGACTCTCCTCTGCACTTCCTCGGACCCTTGTGATTGCTTGACTGTGTGAATGCTACATCAAAAGGGTGTGGAGAATCGGCAGTTAGATTCTAGCTGCTAGAAAGTATGAGACAGCAACTGTACATCCTTGTTTTGTCCAGCAAGGTGGGTTTGTTTATGAATGACAACTAAATAGCAAAAAAACATGTGGTTTGAAATGGATTCAGAAATAATGAGATAAACTGGATGAAAAGTGGACACAAATGAGAAAAGCACTAAAACATTAGTTGCGTGCATTCTTGACTATTGTAATATGTTCGTAATATAGTTTTTTGAAAAACTAGCATGTTGGTTTCAACAACGAATTAAACTGTAACCGTTACCCAGGTGTCTGGTCTCACCTGCAGTCTCTACACAGGATGTCTGCGTGTCCGAGTGCAAGCTGCTAAAATAGGCTGAGCTCAATCAAGGCGCCTGGTGTTCAGGTCAAGCTGATGCTTGTCCATGAGGTTCCATTGCTGGCCAATGTCAAAGTCAAGATGCCATATGGCCCCGTAGTAGCGCTGACGGGCAGTGTCAAAGTTCCCAGATTTAAAGAACTCATTGCCCTCCTCTCTCAGCTTGTCTGCTTCTTCAAGTCCTTGGTACTTGTGATCAGTGAATGATCAAACAAAACCAATGACTGGTGAGGACACTGAGGCCTGCATGTGTTCTTTCAATCTGAACGCAGGCCTCCCTGCACGAACAGCAAAAGCACATAGCAGTCTAAATGCAGCTCAACTACTAAATTCAAAAATGTCAGAGCGAGCATGACCGTTTTCTTTGTTCCAGGAAATGATCTCCTGTTCCTCCTCTTCGGAGCAAAAGCATCGCAGCAGTGACTCGTTGTCGAAGTCCATCCGTACCGGCTACGCAAAACAGAACTAGAAAACTATGCTCCGTGGGACTGGCTATTTGAATGGAACTCAATCTACATCTAAATCTACTAAGCTGGCGTGACCTTTTGCAAGGTCGCACTATTTGCTGAGAATGTGCGGTCATGCTCGAGCTGGACAGCTCGGCGGGGATAGTTTGAGGCTCAAATCTGGCGTTATCTATGCAGTTACTTGGAGTTACTCAGAGCACACATTTCAACCTGAAAAGCTCAAGTGTTCCTTTGACTCAGCGTCCGCCCAAGCAGCTCTAGTGCTCCCTTTAAGGTTCTGGCCTCTCCTTCAGGTCCAAGAGCTGGACTCATGGTGGCGATCAAGGTCTTCCTCACAGAAAAAAGAAAAAGGAGAGCCTGAAAGTCAAGCGAACATAACAAAAGGGTGGCCTCGCTTCTCCAAAGCACTGCCAATTTCCATGCTGAGCTCCGTGCAAGTCTGTCACCGCCATCTTTGAAGCGAAGGATCACTATGGTCCCATGAGTACAAGAAATTGAATGTTTATCCTCAGGTAACCCTTAGCACGGACCGTTAGGATCTCTAAACAACGGTTATGCTCTCTCAAAGGATTTGGCTCCCATTGCCAGAACAGCTGTACAGCAACCAATAGCAATTAATAGGTTCCAAATGTCTTGATTGCTGGTTGCTAGTATCTCAAGTGGCTTGACCGTCGCAGCTTCGACTCAAGGCCAAATACAGTTTGCAACGGGCATTGCAAGTCTCTCATGCAGCAGTTCGCATTCGTGCAGCCATGGCGTTTGGGTCGTGCAGCCTTGCACGGCCATGCACCATGCACCACTGCGTTACTCAACTTGGACCTCTTTAGCCCGCTCCTACTCAATTAAGTAGGCGCCTACTTAATTAAGTAAGAGAGTAAACTGGCTAATAGCAATAGGAAGCTACTACCTACTGGACGCAGGATAGTTCACGCTTCTTCAAGGAAGCCCCCTGGGCAGCCTTAATTAATGATTTGGTTCCTAGATTTTGGGGAAACTTACTTCCTCTTCTTCGTCTCTTTTTCTGCACCGCTTTGATTTGGCTGTTGCAAACCAGTCTGTCAAGCTCTGATCCCTATTTGCGCTTAGCCCAGAGGCCTGCCATTCATAGCGAACTCCTGGTGTTTTCAAGACATGTGAAGAATTCAGGTGTGTTTTCACGCCGTGTTTCGAAGACTGATCTCCTTGAAGCTCACTCCTCGAAAGGTTCCGGTGACCTGCGAATGTCCGATGACAGCGCACTGCGCATTGCTGCCTTCGAACACTCGCCTTCGAAGGTTCCACGCCATGAGCCTCCAGATCCGGCGAAACGACGGGGAAACGAAGGTTTTGGAAAAAGAAGAGAGCCATGCTTTCTGGGGATGAATGGATTCAACCCTTAGTCATATGGATTTGAATCGATTCACCCCTGTAAAATGCAACAAGAGGGACAGAATGAATGTCTGACAAGAACAACATAGCACAATAAAAAAGAACATACCCGCTGCATTTCCACTCAGCTGGTTCTCGCAAGACATCGAATTACATTCATGAGCTGGTAATCCTTACGTGTAGGAACAAGAAGCTACTAGGGGCTCCTGGCCGTACTACTAGGAGCAAGGACGCTACTAGGGGCTCCTGATATGGCTACTAGTAACAAGAAGCTACTAGAAGCATGATATCGGATGTATCGAGGCCATTCCTACTAGTCTTCCACAAACAACGTGCCACTCGCTCTATTTCCCTGATCATTCATACAAAAAGGCCTTCAAGTACTGACAAAAACGCCTTGTCCAAACCAATAGCAGCCAGCTCTCGCTTGGCATCAAGAAATCACTTCAAACATATCATGTCCCCTTTACCAGTGACCACAAATCATCATAAATCCCTACAGCCTGTAGTGGAGGATTGCACCCTGCCTGAAGACCTTTCGCAATAGTTCCGATGAGAGCTCCAAAATCACCACCAATGGAATCCACCTCAACGACCTAAGTTGACAACTTGCATTGCTGCATCCACAGAAACCCAAATTCTCATGTACTTAAACCTGAGTCCTCTGCCACTGAGGCTTCTTGTCCAGCCACTGTCACACACTCGGCCTGCGCTGCACTTTCAGTGCCAGAGATATAGGAATTCTTTTATGCGACCTGGCCTTCATCAATGCAACGATGATATACTGGTCAGGCTTCCCAAGAGCCGACTTCACGGCCTGGAAAACGCTCGACGACCGCAAAGCACAGCACGGGTTCTCACACCACATTGCGCCAGCGCACCAAAAGCTTGGTGGCGCTGAATGTGGTGGAAGAAATCCGAGGGCGCAACATCATGAACCATTTTGCAAACCTGCCCAGCTCACCCAGCTGGGAAAGTGTAAAAATAAGGATGGCTTCAATTGCAACACTGTGACATGCCTCCTGCTTGCTTCCAATCAGGGCATCCACGTCTGTGAACACAGTCACCAGTGGCATAGTCTGGGCACAGGGCCCGCGAAAGAAACATCGCAAATGCAAGCAGCAAATGGTCACACACTTGGCCTCCTTTGAACAGGTTCAAGATGGCTCGAGTACCAGCTCCCAAGTGCGTGCTTCTCAGCCAAAAACTAGCCAGTACGAGTGCACAAAAAAGAACCTAAGGGACAAAATGGCAGTTGCGAATGAGAATCCAACTGGCACCCAGTACCACTCAGATTGTTGCCCTCCATTTTCCAACCCCCTCTATTTTTCCAACCGGCCATTAATTGTTGAATGACGTGACCACTAACGCCGGTGTTCAGCATAGGCCAGGTTGGAAGACTGTAAATCTCCGCAGCATACCGCAGTGTCTACTCCGTCAAGCATTCAAACGTTCTCTTTCCATCTTCAGAAATCATCATCACCCCACAGGTGGACGGCATGTCCATGTGTCTGAAATTCCGGATGCTCCAAAGGGTCACAGCTCTCCCCTCCGCAAAGAGTTGATAGCCACCTTCCACCACTTGGTGACTTCTGCAAATAAGATCCAAGTTCAGATCACTCAGCATCTGCTTGGCTACATCCTCACCCCAAGTAAAAGAGACGCCTCGGTCATTTTCACCCCAGCCACTGGTGTCGGATGGATCTGACCAAAGGAGGTCACACAAAAGACCCGATTCAGGCACCTGCGCGGGCCTTTTCAGCTGGCGAATTTGGTTAAGATCTTTGAGTTCAGGTGAAAGACCACCATGAACACAGAAGATTCGCTCGTTCACCAAAGCAGCAACCGGCATAGAGTTGAAGGTCCGACAAAAGAGCTTCCACAACTTGACCCCATGATGCTTGTGGCATTCGTCATAGAAGCCATAGATGCGACTCATCGATGCATCCCTTTGGACAAGGCAATCAGCCGATACAAAGTTTTCTCATTCTATAAAGACCAATATCACTAGACATCAAAATCAAAAATGTCAGAAAAGACTAAACGCAAATCAAAAGGCTCGTGGTTGCTCCTTAGGAGGATGACATTGTCTGGCTGTTGCGCCTCATGAGCAGAGAGATGCAGTAGCTTTGCTGCTGTGAGTGCTATCAAGAACCTCATACTGTATACTCATATGAAGGAAGTAAGTATTGCTATGTCTTTGTGGGCTAATCTTTACAAAGATTGTGCACATCTGCTTGGCCATAGGCAATTGAATAAAACTGAAAGGAACGAATAACGTACTGTATTCTGCCTTGAAGAAGAAGAGCAGCGAGACCGTGTCAAGGCTTCTCGGACCCCTGTCAACGTAGCCGCCAAGGAATAGGTAGCGCTTGGTATCTGATGGATGGCCCATCTTGTCAAGAATCTGCAGCAATTGGTCGAAATGCCTTGGTGGTCTTCTTTTACAACTTTCCCCTTTGATGATCTCTTGATGTTGCTCACTTGTGTTCCTGCTGCTGCTTCTCCTGCTCCTACTGCTGCTGCTTGCTGGCTGCTGGAAGAAGATCACCAATGAGTACTGGAGTGAGCGAGATCAAAGTATCTAGAGTCCAACCAAACAAACCAACAAACAAACCAAACCAACAAACCACCAAACCAAACCAAACGAAACGAAACGAAACGAAACGAAACCAACCAACCAACCAGCTACCCATCACAAAGTCGACGGAAACAGAGTCCTTCCAAAACTTATTGGCTAGGCGAGTGCTATTACTTCAAGCAATAACCGGTCGATCATGGTCGATCTATTGATACTAGAACGGTTCTCAGAAGCAAGGCCAAAACTTTAGCAAGATCATGCAAGATCTAGCCAAGAACCCAGTCCATCTTTGGCTATTAAACACAATGGCAACCCTTCAAAGACACTTGCCTTCCCAAAACGAATCGAAACATATCGAAACGTATATCCCAAAAAGACCAAGAAAAAGGTGCAACTTTCACAGTGGGCTGTATGACGCTCCAGGAGGACAAAGAACAAACACGCAAACCATCAGCGTAAATCCCTGCGGAAAGTTGCGTCCAAGGGTCCCATGAAGGTTCCCCACAACCATCAAAGGCCCTTGAAGCTCAAGCAGCATCGGCTCCGAATCGAAAATGGACTCACAGATCGCACAAAGCCTTTCAAGCTCTGTTCTCTGCATCTTTGCAGGTCCTTGAGCGCCACCCGACTTGAGAAGAGTTGATATGCCTTTCTCAGCATCCAATGCCATTCGAGTCAAATAGATTGTGACTTCGCCCTGCCAGCCAAGGCTTGCGCAGGTGTCTCTGTCATCCAAAGGCCTTGCATTGCACTGAGGTTTAGGATTCTAGGATCCAACAATCAACAGCGTTCTCAATCCTAATAGCGATGGCCTCCAACCTAACAGCGATGGCCTCCAACCTAATAGCGATGGCCTCCAGCCTAACAGCGAGGCCTCCAACCTAACAGCGATGGCCTCCAACCCAATAGCAATGGCCTCGAACCTGATACCGTTGGCCTCCAACCCAATAGAGATGGCTTCCAACCTAATAGTGATGGCCTCCAACCTAATAGCGATGGCATCCAACCTAGTAGCGTTGGCCTCCAACCTAATAGCGATGGCCTCCAACCTAACAGCGATGGCCTCCAACATCCTAACAGCGAGGCCTCCAAGCTAACAGCGATGGCCTCCAACCCAATAGCAATGGCCTCCAACCCAATAGCGTTGGCCTCCAACCTAATAGAGATGGCCTCCAACCTAATAGCGATGCCTGGACTCCCACCTAATAGCGATGCCTCCACCTAGTAGCGATGGCCTCCAACCTAGTAGCGATGGCCTCCAACCTAATAGCGATGGACTCCAACCTAATAGCGATGACCTCCACCTAGTAGCGATGGCCTCCAACCTAACAGCAATGGCCTCCAACCTAATAGCGATAGCCTCCAACCCAATGGCGATGGCCTCTAACCTAATAGCGATGGCCTCCACCCAAGCAAAGTTTGCTTTTTCTGTGCAGTTTGCTAAACTCCTTGCGGACCAGATTCTGGTCTTGATGGCAGAGGCACTGCATGCAGTCAGGACATTTTACTTTGTCCTGTAGTGTCCTTTTGATCTCCCGAACCGTTGTCTCCGGCTTCAAAGGCAAATCAGCAACCTCACTGCCTGCGAGATTGAGGACCTCAGTCAGACTCAAAAAGCCTGCATTATTGGTGAGAGGTACGCAAACAACCTTCCGCTAAAGTATTCAATAGAAACTTTAAGGAAAAGAGGACAAAAACAAACAAAACTGCACAAAATGGTGACCCCAGAATAGATAGAGATGTACTTCAGTGACGTTCATGTCCCAAAGCGACCCTGGGACTTGGTCACCGCCAACAACAACAGGACTGGGCAGTTTCTTGGCTGCTTGGTGTTGCTCGGGGTCGCGCCCCCCCAGTTTGTCTATCTCCATACGATGCTCCGCATGTTAAAGCTTGCTGTTGCTGTTGCTGCTGTTTTGGAACAAACGCAGTTGAATCACTCCGCAATTCCGCAGAAAGCATCTAAAATGAGCCTGAATCGAAGCCAAGACACTTTTACGTTCACTACCAAATCCTCTGTTGATGGAGCGGATTCTGTGGCATCTGGCTGGGAAGCACTAGCAGCCATGCTCGATGCTAGACTACAAGCTCTTCTTTGTCAGTTCACAACAAGGGATCTAGCTTGTCCCGATCAAAACACTGCACACATTAGAAGTGTTTTGAAGTGAAGTCTCTGAGGAGACAAAGAGCACTTCTATCATTTGTTGACCATTCCCGGCAGTTTTGTGCCCCTTTGATTTGCTCGTTTGAAATTAGTGCCGCTCAAAGCCTGGCTTCAGTCAGCGTCACGAAACCATGAGCCTTCAGAGTCTTCAAGAATGAACTTCATTGGGGGCTTCACAAATCCCTTCCTTGCAGCTCATTGATTTGAGCTTCTTTTCACCGTGAGATAGACGCATTCAGGCGGTCAAGATCGGGATCTCAGGATGCAACATCCGAGATCAGCTGAGGCTGTGCATCTGAAGAATGCTGGTGGAAAAGAAGCCCCAGCGGATCTTCCTTCGCCTCACTGCTCGCAGCTCGCCACTCTTCTCCGAGCCGTGTTGTGGGAAGCAAGCCGAGGAATTCTGCAACTCCGGGCCCGATGTGATGGCCATGTCGACCAATCCTCTAGCAGCAAGACCTGAGCCCCACAGCTTCAACAAAGCAGCCCTTGCGACAAGCATCGAAGCTTGCCAGAATCATCCAAAATGGAATGTAACATGATGATACATGATGTAAGATGTAACCTTGTCGTGTCTACGACCACTGACCAACATTGGACAATCTTCATGCTCTCGTCCACTTGATGAACATGACCATCTCTACTTCATGAGGTCTCCACGGAGGGTGTGGAGGTGGATGGTTCTTGTAGAGTTGGGACTTGCCGTGTCGAAAAGCCATGCCGAACATCGCACATCACACCTGCCTCTTTTTGTATCTGGTCCTTGTGGGTGCGAATCCGTTGATCTGAGGCTCGCACCCTGAGGTCGAGGTATCCTGAAGGGTTTCTCTGTGTTCCGCAAAAATTCGAGAAGGTGTCAGCTCAGGAAGCTCCAGAATGATTGTGGGTCACGCCTGTCGACTCGGCTGCTTTGGTGACCTCAACTACAGGACTGTGCCAGGAATGCTCTTTTCTTGCCTAATGCCAGCGTTCTGATTTCAGAGAGAAAAACATACATACAGTTTGCTATTAGGTTGGAGGCCATCGCTATTAAAAACACAGGAATAATGGATCCATGCTTCGTGCTTTTGCTCGCCTCGCTAACCGACCCGACTTGTACCATTTCATCGCCTCAGTGCCACTAAAGGGCAATGGGTTGAATCGTCAGAGCCCCGCTGTGCACAAACACATAACCAAAGGGACTCAAAGTTTCCTTTTTACCAAGCTAGCCTAGCGATAATTATCTGGCAATCCAGAACTTGACCATCGCCACGTCTTTCTTGCATCCAAGGCACTCTGAGCCGATCCTCTCCCTTGAGGGGAGATTCTTGTGCTTTCACCCAGCGGAGGATCTCCTTGCCTCCAGCGTTTCAAGAGAGGCAGTGCACTTTGTCTGTGTGGCCAAGGTCAGAACAAGCCAGCGGGTGGTGGTGTTGGTTCAGCACGAAGGGGCCGGGAGACACACAATGGCGAACCCTTGAAGGAACTGC